ATCTCTAGTTCACAGTAGTCGGCAATATCTCCCATTGGGCTATTCGCCACCTCGGCTTCGCGTAGTAGTCGTCGAGAAGAGAAAACTCGTCCATGGGGACCTCGTCAAATTGAGTTTTTGGAGAGGCCGATTAAACTTGATTTCAGCTCACCGTGTCGCCGTCCTCAATCTTTGGGTGCTGTCATCGTGTTTCCATAGTAATCGGCATTGTCTCCAATCCGCCATCTTGTCTCCTCGGCATCGTTGTGCTTGCNTAGAAGTCGGCACTATGCCTCAAGACTTGAGAGTTCAGAGGTTGGCATCGTCGTCATTGGATTTGCTTTTGAGGTATACTCGTGCCGACTACTATGGTTTGAGTTGAGAATTCGCCGATTACTTTCTTTAACCGTCGTCGAGGTCTCTCCTTTTTGGCNGAGGAGGGGTTGTTTTAGTTTCAGCCCGCCACGGGTTAGTGTTGTTGAGGACTCCTCGTTTAGCTGAGGACTCCTCGTCTAGCTGAGATCAATTTCGAGAAAGGTTTTGCCGACATCACTTAGTCTTCTCGTCATCTTTCCCTTTGTTATGTTTTTGTTTTTTGGGTTGCGTTACTTAGAGAAGTTCTCATGCTTGTAGTGATGGAGAATTTGGCATTGTCTTTGTCATGCGCTCGGCCATCTTTGCGATGACCACGAGCTCGTCAAACTAGCCAGTTCATAGCTAGAAAAATCGGTCAGATTGATATGTCTCCATGATAATTTATTCAACTTTCAGACCGTTGGTCCAAATGACTTCGTGTTTCTCTTGCATGAAAGCTTGTTCAATTATCTATCTCGTGTCAAAATTTCAGCTCGATCGGAGGTGGTTAAGACGTTTTTCTGAACTCATCTCTCTAGCTCGGCACGAACGAGCATATCCTTGCATTTCAGCATGTCTCTAGTAAATCGGACTTATCTTGGTGACCGCAACTCCGAATGATATGATTTTAACTTTGTTGAAATGCTGGTTCAAATATCTTTCCACTCGTCATCAGGCTCTGTAGCTGGTTTCCGATGACTCTCCAAGATCGTTAGTGCCGAGCTCGCTTCTTGGCGAGTTTATTGCTTTGACATGTCTTTCGTAAATCTAGCGTATCTTGCTGACTGCAACTCCGAATGATATGATTTCAACTTTGTTGAAAAGCTGACTCAAAGATCTTTCCACTCGTCATAGGTTGAGCTCTGTAGCTGGTTGTCGAGGACTCTCCAAGTTCATTAGTGCCGAGCTCGCTTCTTGTCGAGTTTATTGCTTTGAATTCTCGGCAAACTATGGATTGGTGCTGAGATCTCGCCATTTTATGTCTTTGCCGAGGTCTCCCTTGAGTCAAGATTTAGAGGTCGCCGCCGTGGTCACTTGAAACTTGTGGCGAGGTTGAATCAAAATCTTGCCTACTTCGATTTGTTACCGCCGACTTCGATTTGTTGCCACGGTTACTGGGTTTTGTGCCGAGGTCTCCTAGTGCCAAAGTCTCCTAGTGCCGAGATCTCCTTGTGTCGAGACCTCTTTGTGCCGAGATCTCTTTGTGCCGAGATCTCTTTGTGCCGAGATCTCTTTCCCTTGAAAACAGGCCGAGGACGAGACGCGGTGAGGAGGAGTCGCCGTTGTCACATCTCGGCACCGTCGCGCTTTGCATAGTAGTCGGCGTCATGTTCGATTCATGATAGTCGGCACCATAGTTACTTGGTTTTGAGTCAAGGTCTCCTTGTTCCTAGATATTATTCCCTTGCCAAGCTTGGGAACTCGTTTAGGACTCCCTCTCTTGCCAAGGTGGGTGAGAGCTCGTTGGTTTTGTTGATGTCACCTCGTAAAGGTTATGCCGAGAGCTCGCCGGTTCTGCTAAGATGTCTAGGCTTGGCAAGGTCTAGACTTGGCAAGGTCTCCCCTTGACGAGGTCTTTTCTTTTGCCGAAAAGCGTTTATGCCAAGGTGTGTCTTTGTTGAGTTAGAAAGATTTTTGTGATTGTATTGATGGTTTTGTATCGAGTGTTGTGGTTTACAGACGAGCTCTTATTAACTAATCCGCTCCAAAAACAATTTGGATTCGTGCCATGACCAGTGGCATGCGTACTGGGTTTCGAGCTAAGTATATTGGTTTACGAACGAGTTCTCTTTANNAAGTCCGCTCCAAAAATAACTTAGNTTTTTNATNCGACCAATAGTNNGTGTATTGGGTTTNGAGNTAAGTATTNTNGTTTACGGACGAGTTCTTATTAACAAGTCCGCTCCAAAAATAACTTAGATTTTTGATGCGACCAGTAGCTCGTGTACTGGGTTTTGAGCTAAGTATTATGGTTTACGGACGAGTTCTTATTAACTAATCCGCTCCAAAAATAACTTAGATTTCTGACTTATGATGCGACCAACGTTTCGTATGTTGGGTTTTGTTTTGTGATGTCGAGTCAAGTTTACAAGCGAGCTCCAATCAACAACCTTGCTCTGAGAAGCGAACACGTAATGTAGTTAAGACCAATAGTCAGATTATTGGGTTTTCGGATGATTATTTTGGTTTACAGACGAGTTCTCAATAACAAGTCTTCTCCAAGCCGAACATGTATCGCGTTGCGACCAACGTCTCTTTTGTTGGGTTTAAGGTGAATATTTCGCATTACGCATATGTTTCTCTTTAAACATATCCGCTCGATAATGAACATATTGCGATAGAACCAACGATTTGTATGTTGGGTTTATAATGAGCATTTCAGGTTACGCATATGTTTCTCTTTAAACATATCCGCTCGATAATGAACATTTGTATTTATATAGCACACTTTAATCCTGCAAAGGATGTATTAGTCAGATCTGAAATATTCGTATAAATTCGTTACTGTGGCTAGCAGCAACGAGAGTAAGTGTATAATGTATGATTTAGCTAAGACTGTGAGTAATCCGTATAGGATATGATTGAGATGTCTGTTTTGTCAAGACTTAGACAATCCGCGAGGGGTGTAGACGAGATTGAGTGAATTATTGCTTTTGATTGATCGCAAAAATTGTT